AAAAAAACTATAACACAATACTATCTTTCACATTCAACTAAACCATATATTTTCAATGAAAAAATACCAATTTTAGTCCTTGTATAAAATTAAATAAAATAAAGGATTGATATTTCTAAATGCTTAAAGAATTATGTATATAAAGTGAGACGAAAACTTTATGTGGTTATCCATTTCTCAAGCATACTTAACTTTGGAGTTTTATATATAATTCATAATTGTAAAATAAAAAAAATTCTTACCTCCATCCTGGAATGTATATTGAGTGTGTCATTTTTGAAATTAATTCAATTTGTTCTTTTTGAAGTTCAAAAATCTTTTTTCCTTCTTCATAATTATTACCAAAAGCAGTTCTTGAAATTATGTCACTTGTCAATGTTTGAAGATATGACCACACATCTATCTCTGTTCCGTCTTTCGAGACAATTTCCTTCCATGTGTTCAACATTTCACCAACAGTCAATTTGAACGCAGGTAGCATATGCTGCACATTGATAAAGTAAAATTTCTTGTCAAGTCGAAATCAGACAAAAAAAAAACGAAAAGAGAATAACAAAGTTTCAAAGTGGCTAAAACCTTCAACTTGTCAAAGTGAAAAGCTGGATTGAGAATCCTTCTATGTGTGGCCCATTTATCTTTTTCATGGGCCGCAAGCCCAGATATTGCCAACTTCAATAATGGGCTGCCACGTGCCTTATGATAAACATAATTCTTTGTTAACACCTCCCTTATCAATTTGGGCTCTGTGATGAGGACTGCTGGTTTGGGCCCAATCCACACAAAACAATTTTTACCTACACAATTGAAGTGAAACCGAAAATTACGCGATACAACAAACTTAAGTTCATTCACAATTTTTATATGTATGTATGTATGAAAATTACTATATGTATGTATAAAGGTACAATAAATATATACATACATGTATGATTGTGTATATGTATGTATACCTCTAGTGTATTTGTGTATGTATATGATATGTTTTGAAAAGAATTGTTACACAACTATACAATTAATTACAAAGTAATTTTTGTATGAAAAGCATGGATTAAATAACCTACAAAATATTGTAACACATCACATCATATGTATGTTAAATAAAAGCACATGTCAAGGGGTCCAAACCTTGTTGAATACATAAGCTTGATATTATCCACTCAACTTCTATCTTATCACTTTAGTACAATTAAAAGCTTAAATCATATACAATGTGTAAAGCATAATTTATCCATTCAACTCATGATCATCTTTAAAATATATATTTTTAATCTTTAAAAGATAGACAGGTTATTTATTATCGTAGATAAATGTGACCTGATGCTATAAAACTTCTACGTTATCTGATCAGCTTAAAAATAACCAATAGTAAATACGTAAAAGAATCGTATTTTCCCATTTACTTACCATAATTTGTGATGGTTTTGTGGATGAAGGGGTTGATTCTAGGCCAAATCAAGTCATGTGAGAAATTGATAGGCTTGGATGTAGCTTCTTCAATCATCATCTTCATCTCTTTCATATCCCCATACAACAACTTGTAAGAATTTCCTTTGAGACCTTGTTGTCTTAGTTGTTTCTCCAATTTTTTTGGTTTGAACCAAACATAATTCAAGATTCTCCATGTCCATCTCAATACAAAGATAATTGCAAATGAAAATATTGCAATTTTTAAGTTGTAATATGATATTTCCATATTGAAAAAACTTATCCTTCCCTCACTAGCCTCCAATGTGATAATACCAAATTTCATGGTCTTTATTATGATATTAGTACCATATATATATATATATATATATATATATATGCATACTA